CAAGCGTATAAGAGCAACCTCAGTGTTACTGATTAGTCGTCTCATCAATCTAAAGAGCCGAAAGCAAACAAAATGTTCTGCCCCACAAACATGGGTTGTTTGAAGTTATCGCCCATACCATCAATGTTTGCTGGTCAGTAACTCCACCCTCCCTCCTTTTGTGTTGTTAGGCTCATGTTAAATGTTTAAAAGAAGCTATTGAGTTCTACTTGGTGTTCTATGTCTCGCATCCTGTTGAGAAACACTATTTCTGCAAGTTCCTTTCACAAACTCGTCTGGCTATTACAACTTATGAACTATTGGTTAGGCATCAATGCTATACAGTTAACAGTTATGGAGAAATAGTAAGAATTTTCAAACAAGATATAAGCATTTAGAATGTAGAGGGGAAGATGTACTTAACTAGCTAAGCAGGAGATATAAAGAGTATCGCGGTTAAAAGCGGAGCAATAGATAACACTAAGGGGCCAAGGTAAGTCAATAGCGTGTAAGTGAGAACAGTATAATTGATAATAGGCAATGTGAAACTCACACAGTTGTAAGTGTTGATAAGGTTGCGCCCAGGAGAGTAGAGTGCATTCTAATCAACCAGTTTACAGTTGAACAGTGTCGAACGACCCAGTTAGTAGAGTAACCTGTCTATTTCAAATAAAAACTAAAGAGATTTATATTCAACTAGAAAAATTAGTGCTACTTGGGAGTGTAAAAATAACTAAATAAGACGCAGCACTGAGTTCATTGTGTTTAAAGTGTATGCAGAGCTATTAATATGAAAGCAGGGTGCGAGTGAGTTCACGAGCGCAGAAGAGTCAGTGCAACTGAGAGCATCATTAAGAAGTTGAACAAACTCATGTAACCCACTTGCCATGCGTATTTTAGAGGGAAGCCTATTCCATATAAGTGCATACTTAGAGAGGAAGAAGTTTTCTCGAGTTTTGGATCTATACTTCTCAAGTTTGACCGTAGATACTTTATCTCGAAGGTTATGTGTACAAGGGCCATGGATAAGGACTAAACTGCAGGAGGAATATGTGAGCTTGTGCAGGAGTTTAAAGTAAAGGATCAGATTGGACTTAAGCCTTCTTTTCCATAATGGATCGAGCCCGAGTTCAATACATCGGGTTGGATAGTCAATGGGTGAGCTATGATTTAGGACTTTACGAGTAAATTTCCTTTGTATTCCTTCAAGTTTCAACATATCAGACAGGCGTACGTTAGAAAATAAGAAAGAGCAGTATTCAGCAATAGGTCTTACGCATGTTTTATAGAGAATTGTTCTGGATTCTCTATGAAGGAAGTTACGAAAGATGAAACCAAGCATTCTTCTCATTCGAGAAACTTTATTGGAGATATGTTCGGAGAAGTTAAGGTTGTACGAATAATGCACTCCAAGATCAGTTACGGATGTGAGTTTGGGCAATACACTCCTGTTGAGAATGAGATCTAATTTGGGAGCAGCGTCTCCGAAACACATCCAGCCACACTTCTCAGTATTAAGTTCAAGGTTCCATTGCTTACACCAGACATCTACAGTATTGAGTTCGTGCTGGATTGTGTGCAACAAGTTTCCTAAGTCAGATTTGCTAGTTTGATAAATCACTTTTAGGTCATCCGCATAGAGGTAGGTTTTACCAGTGTTGAAACAACTGCATATGCGGTTGATGTAGATTACGAAAAGCAGTGGACCCAAAACACTGCCCTGCACAACACCACTGGTAATTGGTCGAGGTGTAGATGTATGTGAGTTGATTTCGGTAATCTGATATCTATCTGTGAGGAACGACCTAATCCATTGCAACAGGTGGCCACTAATACCGACGGACTGAAGTCTGTTGATTAAAAGACTGTGAGGTACCTTATCGAAAGCCTTTTTGATATCAAAATACAACACGATTACTAGTTGCTTTTGATCGCGTATGCTGGTAACCTCATTAAAGAAATCTAAAAGACATGTGGTGCACGACCTAGTTCTAATGAAGCCATGTTGAGAGGAGTCAATGTGACCTTCCCTCAAGAACCCATGCTGTGAGGTCGATATCAGATTGTTACTAACTAGATGTTGCAGTAACTCTGCCTTAACTATTTTCTCCATGACCCGAGATACTACCGAAGTTATATTTATAGGTCGGTAATTTTCAACGTTCGCTGTAGGCCCAGATTTTATTGTGGGGATGATATGTGTAGTCTTCCAGTTATTAGGGTAACACTCTGTGGAGAGAGATATAGTAAATAGTTTGAGAAGAATAGCACTCAGATCATTGCTACCATTTTTTAGCATGCTGGCAGGGATGCCATCTGGTCCTTCAATGTAAGAGTGCTTCAGTGTAGTAATCGCCTTAGAAATGTTCTGTACACTAAATTCAACACTGGCGATTTCACAAGAAGGAGTTTGGGTCAGGTGTGACTCATTTATTGAGTTTTCGTTTGTTAATGTGGCACAAAAATGTTCGCTAAACAACTCTGCGATACTTTTAGGGTCGTCATACACTTAATTGTCCTTAATAAATATGCTCCCTCCTTTCACTTTGGAGCATTTGAGTTTATTCCGAAGGAGTTTTATGAGTTCAGAGGATTGATTGTTCAGCTGAACAGCACGCTTTTCCCGTGCGATTGCCTTTTTAGTACGTGTTATTTCTGCCTCGACACATATTTCAGTCATCGTTACTAATGAGGAGAAGTCATTACAGTTATGAAATCTGGAAGCATGTCTTCGAAGACGCTTTCGTATATGACCTGGCATAAATAAGTCCTTAGGAATTCTGGGTCTCCAGGATTCTAAAGGTGCAAATTTGTTGAGTATGCTATTTGTGTTGTGATAAAATACATTTATTAGTTCATCAGTATTGTTTGCAGTAAAGTAGTTTGTCCAGTCAATGCTTCTGAGGCAGTTACTGAAGTTTGACCAATCAATCCTACGAAAGTCCCTACGAAGTGTGGTGGATTTATACTTTATAGTTGTAGCTCCTATATCAAGGCTGCATATGACCATATTATGATCGCTACCTGGGAACTTTTTTCCAACATAAACAGTATGAGGAATGAGATTGCTGGTGAAAACCAAATCCAATGTATTTTGATTTCTGGTTGGGCCACTAACATGTTGAGTCTACTCTCCAAGCTCTAAGCATTCAATAAATGATTCGAATCGTTTAGGTGGTTTGATTGGGAACCAAGTGATTTCAGGCATGTTGAAGTCCCCACAAATAGCCTTGCTTGTGAACGGTAGGGATGAAACAAATGTGAATACTTCTGACAATAATGCTGGATCTCCTGTTGGTACATTGGGCTGTCGGTAGACACAGCCGAACAGTAAGGAAACGGCATTTGACGGTTTCAGAACGATCCACACAGAGTCTGGCAATCTATTTAGTTCAGATATATCACATAAGAGCGAGTTTAGGCTAGAGTGGGCATATATAAGGCATCCTCCACCTCTTCCTTGTAACCTATCACTTCGAAACAGATCATAGTTTTCAAGAGATATAGTAAGATCAGAAATATTACTACAGGTCCATGCCTCAGTTATCATAATAAGTGATGGTTGTCAGATGGTAGCAAACATGACTAGATCTGTCTTTTTATTACAGATTGAACGAGCATTAATAAGACATATATTAAACAGATGTCCCGCTAAGCTAAAATAGTTTAGGGTATCTTGAGTAAAGGAGTTACTATGACCTGCGTGAGTGTGGTTTGAGGAGTTTTGCCGGTATGAAATGAAGACATATTTGTATATAACGTGCTGCTAGTATAATTTATGGAAAATCAAATGGAATATAATATAGGAACGCCTAGTAAATCATGTGACTTATTGCACATTTTCAGCTAAATCTCAATTTTCTCAGGTTTACTTCTATAGTGTAGCGTTAGGTATAATCGATAACATTTTGTGACTCCAGTTTATGAAAGAAAGTATTTTCACCTTCATGTATTAGTAGGTTTAGGGTAAGTTTATTTTAAGTACAAAACAATATGTCTACTTTCCTGTCGCTTCACCAATCACATACATGTTTTAAAGTATAACAGAAATTGTCGTTTCTTCGTAAATTGGTTACCACTCTCTAAACAAGTCGGTTATTTATTACTTATCAGCCTTGTTATGAATGAGTACGTACGTACGTACCTAACCCTGCTTCATTCGTAATATATCTATGAAACGTTTGCATATAAGGACAACTGATTTAAGGTTAATATTCGTTTTCATTATGAGTAGACTAATAACAATCGTGTCGCAATACGCTATAGTTATTCAAAATTGCTACCTAGATACTTCCTATTTCGTGTGCCTGTACTCTTTTCACAGAATATTTATATCCACAGCTTATATTTGTAAGATGTCAAACTCAAAAGAACTTCAGATAAAACTTTGTAACCAGTAAAAAATATTATCACTATCTTACAGGCTTTTCACAACTATTGGATATAGAATCTTGATTACGATTACATAATTGCATAGTAAAGCAGTTGAAAAATCTTTATGATTCAGAGCAGTATCTGTACAAACTATTTATACAGAATCTAGAGCTATATGGCATGCCTTGTGTCAGGAAGCATTGAAGAACCATTTCACATCTAATAACTTGGCATTTTTATACTCCCACTTCCACGTTTCTAGCCTTACCACTTGTCTAATAATTTGGTCGATGGCCTCACTAATATTTCATATTGTCTGGAGCATTTCTTTTCTCGTCCTTCTAAAATGAACTCTTGCATCACTGAAATTCTACAAATAACATGTGTTTTCGACATATCTCATTTGCAATCCAGGGCTTTTTTGTGTCCTTACAGCGTTAAATGCTCTGAAAATTAATAAAGTTATTTGATCTTTTGTTATTAATAGCTGTGACGCCAGTGTACATTGTATTGTCGTTGACACTATGGAAATAAGCCGCGGGTTGGTTAACCTCTAAAGTACACTAGTTCGTATTACGCCCGTTCATGTTTCAACACATCGGTGTTTACTAAACAGGAGATACATTTTTTGAATTATAAGTGTTGTGATGGACGCGCAAAAGTCTATTCATTCGATTCCACACGAAGTTCTTTTGCGGTATGGGGGAATGTAAGTTAACTCTAACCATAACACTTCCAGAACCAATGATCAAAAGAAGAATTTATATAGTGAGAAACAGTCATTAGATTTCGTATACATATCAAGCTCTTTGAGGTCGCAGATATCTGGCGTTGAACATCTGTGTATGTAATTCATATCTTAATACCTGAATACGAGGTTTGATATCGTGTAGATCAGTACGGTGTCTGTCAGTCCCCGAAAAGTTTCAACGGGGAAAATTATCATTATTTTGTATGTCCCATATCGTCAGATAGAGAGCTCGGCTCCTTTAAGAGCGAACAAAGATTTTGTTGTGGGGCACCTCCACAGCAATATTGTTGTACGTCTAGCCAATTCTCGTAAGTCATGTTTTTTTTGGATGCTTCGTTGTATTGCATATCAGTTTTAGTTTCCTTTAAAGCATGTTTTACATTGAACCTCTAATTTATATACATACGTCAGTTTTTTATTTCTTGGTGTACTGTTATGGTTGACCAGGGTTAATGACTGAAGCTTGTTTTTCAGTGACGATTCATCCTCTTTTAAAGTGTTAACTGGTGGAGATGATACCACTTTTTCGCTTAAGGTGACTTAGTCAATTATTCTTTTGTGATAAAAATGGAGCTGGACCCTTAGCTTATTCGACCAAGGATTTTGAAGCTTCTTATTGTGGTTTCGCAGATGATTGTCCCGGAGGGGGTAATATGATAAATATTAACTCAAAAATCTTTATTTAAGATTCTGCTAATGCTGGCCAACATATGGCAACCTCATGTACTACGGTAAAATAATGATAGAAGTTAGGGGAGTTCGAAAAGACTAGGCATTAACCTAGTCCCCATAATCTGAACACATTTGAGTTTGATAGCTTGTTTAGTAAGGCATGTATCAGCTGCTTAGGTGCAGTACTGTAGGTGAGGTTTGAAATAAGGGGCTTTAAAGCCCGAAATATATCCTCGTCAAAGCACTGGTATACTCGGTGAAGTTCAATTCTCGCTAACTTAATGACACTATTATTATTCACTTAATTAAAAGCCTGCGCAAAGACCGTGAACAGTGGTGGATGGCGAAAGCAAAAGCGATGGAAAAGGTAGCGGTGATAGGCAACAGTAGACAACTTTTCCGACTTATCAAATAATTCGGTATTAGGAATCCAAATGTAAGTGAGACCATCTCGGAAAAGGATGGGACTATTATTTATTCTCAATCCAGGAGATTGGATCGATGGGCAGAACACCAGGGTTCAGTTCAACTGGCCTTCAGCCACACTTAGGTTACCCACGATATCCGGTCATTCTGAATGGCAAGTCCACGTAAGCTTACCAAACATTTGTGAAGTTGAAAAGGCTATAGGAAATCTGAAGCGCGAGAGAGTAGCAGGACCCGATAGATTGACGCTTGAGGCTTTTAAGGATGTGGTCCAGTTTTAGCAGCTAGATTGACTGAAACCTTAGGTAGAATCTAGGAAATGGACGCAATCCCATCCGACTGGTCTCAATCCCTGACTGTCCCAATTTATAAGAAAAGACAAAAGCCCGTGTGGCAATGACAGGGGAATCAGTCTAACTAATATAGTTTCTAAATTGTTAGCCCCGGTAATCCTTAGACGCCTAACTAGAGCTCGTGAGAATCAGACTCGAGAAAACCAGTCTGGTTTCAGACCTGGACGTGGTTGTATAGACCATATCTTCACACTACGACAGGTTTCGGAACACGGACACACATTTACGCTCCCTACAATAGTTGTCTTTCTGGACCTAAACGCGGCATTTGACTCTGTGGATCGTGAGGTTCTGTGGCAGTGTCTGTCATTGAAAGGTGTACCAAAGAAGTACATTAACCTTATACAAGCTCTCTACTTGAACACTACTGTTTGGGTTAGAGCTTATGGTGAACTATTATCGGAATTGTTTACTTCAAGTGGTGTCCGTCATGGATGTCCACTTTCCCCATTCTTGTTTAATTTTGTCATAGACATGCTCCTAGATATAACATTATCTTCGTCTGAATTTTCAGGAGTTGACCTGCTACCAGAAAAATCGCTTGCTGACTTAGAATATGACGATGACATAGTTCTATTTGGTGAAGACGCTGACGAAATGCAGTGTCTTCTGACTACCCTAAGAAACAATGCAAGCATGTTCGGGATGCGGTTTTCCCCCTCAAAACGCAAAATGTTGCTTCAGGATTGGACTTCTTCGGAACTAGTGATAGGGAGTGAAGTAGTTGAACGTGTCGACCGCTTCATTTATTTCGGAAGTCTCATCAGTGCTGATGTCCTGGTGACTGAAGAAATCTCAGCACGGATACAGAAGGCTCGATTGGCTTCTGCCAACCTGCGTCACTTATGGCGCAGGTGAGATGTCCGCTTGCTAACCAAAGGATGAGTGTACTGCGCAGCAGTTCGCTCCGTCCTACTATATGGATTCGAAACATGGCCGTTAAGAGAAGGGGACTTTCGTAGGTTACTAGTCTTCGATCATCGATGTCTCCGAAGCATTGCTCGAGTGTCGTGGAACAACCATATAAGCAATGCTGTCGTTAGGAAGCGAGTACTAGGTAGGGATGGCAAATCAATAGATGAAGTAGTGAAACTTCATCAATTGAGGTGGTTGGGTCATGTGTTACGTATGCCTAACCACCGACTGCCGCGACGAGCCATGTTTTGTGGTGTAGGAGTAGGTTGTTAGAAAGCCAAGGGCAGCCAAACCAAACCATGGCAAAAATCCATAAAGTCACTGACAAGTGGACTGAGCCATGTCTGTAGTTGTCGACTACTTTGTTTAGGCCCGCGAGACGATAGTCACCGATGGTTAGAGACCTTGAACTACGTGGTTCAGAATCGTTTGCAATGACGCAGGTGCATCCACTGTTTGTGTTCTACGAAATTCTAAGTTTCTACTTTCCTCATAATCTCTACCTTTCTTGTTCTAAATTTATCCTACTGAATTATTCTTCTCGAATCATATCTTCGCTCCCTAATCTTCTCCATTACTGCTAATACTTCTACTATCGCTATCACTCTTGGATTTGAACTGACAGTTGCGTCTCTGTGCTGATGTGGTATGGCAACCTGAACTGAAGTACTTACGTACGAAGTTCTGTGTTATATCTGTCTGCCTGTCAAATGTTTATTTTACTGGGTTGTACTAATATCTGATTTTTGTACTTCATATTTAGATAAGTTATGTGATATTTTGCATTATATCATGCTCTTATACTGTAACGATTTTATTTGTAGATCGAGAATTCATATTGTGCGGTGAGTTTATACAGAACTAAAGTTAAAACGTTTCATGGTTAGAATTTACGTGGAATGCTGAATGTTTTTGTTTCGTTATTTTTGCTCAGTGCTGCTGGAACTAACTTTATAAAAGCGGTACTAATTTTAATCTGTTTTTTAAATGAACTGGAATTATCACAAGCAAATAGTTATTGATAAATATTCGATGAGGCAGTGCATATTCGTTTTTGGCGCTTATCATAATACAGAAACTGTCATTTCCGTATCCCTAAGATTAAGTATAAAATTAATACCAAATAAACAGCGGTAGATCGACTGACAAAAAAGAATTCCTGTATCGTCTACTGACTAAGTTGGCGAAGAAGTCAGGTTTACTGTTAGATTGTTGTTATAAATGCATAAACAGTAAATGTAGCATAAATAGCATTCTGACCAGACCAAAACCTTGAAATAAACAATCAATGCAATAACGTCTCTTCCTTTCCTCAGTCATCCTATAGTGAATTAACAAAACAAAGATGACATGCCTGGTTCCACTGCCTCCACAACCAGTTGAAATGCTCCTGGAAAGCTAGTTGTATTGTGAATACAACCAGGCAACTATATCATCTTATTTTCAAACATCACTTTTCATGGTTGGTCAAAGGACTACAACATGTGATAAGAAGCGCTGTTTTGATGCGTCTAGTCGATACAGACTTTTGCATCAGCGTTATTCATGGAATCCCTGGTATTCATCTGTTACAGCTGTAGCTTAGAAATATGCACAAACAATTTTGATCGTGTGTATGGAAAATCTGTAGGGCTCCTAATTCATCCTGGGCTTCAAATTAATCAGTTTTTAAAATTTTAATTTCTGGTTTTGTAGCTTCGTAGTATATTTTAAAAACTGAAGCATCCCATTTTCCTAACATCACTTTTCTTAACTATTCATCATTATCTCAACATATAATATTAAATATTTATACTTAATGGCTGAATTTCGAAGTGAATAAATTCTTGCTCTTATTCTTACGCAACGTAACTAGTTACAAAAGTTAGTCGATTGTGTGAGTTTCTAGTTTTGACTTTATCTTTTGAGTTACCGACTGATTACTATCTTTAGATAAAATGTTGGAGTAAATATTATCACACGATCCACTACCGTTTATTTAGCATCGTTTTGAAATATAATTACAAGTGAGTGTAGATCCCTAACAAGAAACCTACTGAAAACAAATATTTTTTCCTTCGAAATGTATTTTTAAATTTTTTAATGAGAGTATTTAAAAAATCATATTAGTGCTTGATGTAAATAGAGCAGATAGTTGAGTGATTTACTGTCACCAGTTCAATACACATACTCGAGAGTTAGAAAGATATCGTGCGATATTAGATGGCATAAAGTAGTTGACAAGAAATTCTGAGCCTGATTTTCTTGTTATTCAACGCTCACCAGCGCGGTACACCTTTAATGTTGGAGGAGTAGCAGTTCTCCCGATATTAAAAGCATACCTTGCTACAAGGAGTTGGATAGCACGAAACCTAGTTCCTTAGTTTCTTGGCGACTACCTCCAATTACTTAACATCTCAAGATTGTGCACATGGTATCGAGTCACTTAGATTAGGGACCCCATTTCAACCTGGTAGATGGATTAGACTTGACATTTTTCACAACTCAATAACCAATCACGCGTGAATATCACAAAAGTTTTGATTATGTATTCTTGTTATCGTGTCTATTTTAGTTCATAGATTCTTACTGCTTATTCACTATCTTGAAAATTTACGGCATTGAAATTAAAGAAGAATATGTGCATACTGTGACCGACTCATCAGATAAAAGTAACTCGAAAAAGGTAAAAAATTGAGCTTGTATATTTAAAACAGGTAAAAATAAGTAGTTGAATTGAAAAACTGGGACTTCTTTGATGACTCTGAATGAGTAACGAAGTCTTTTGAATACCTGTTTAGCTTTTTTAAACATTAAGATAACTTGTTGTAACTCTTCTGTATCCACACCTAGCTTGATAATATGCGGTGAAGTTGCTCGACGTGTGAAGCACTTCACCGAAGGATTAAGATGATCCATTGTAAACTGGTTACTAATGAAACTCTGGTGCTAAAATAAAAGTGTCACCTGTCTTTTGTAAAGCATCGGATTGCTTTTAGGAGAACAATAACACTGTGATGCAGTTTACTATTTTACCTTACGTCTGTAAAAAAGATATCATATCGAAAGTCTGGCACTGATTAGATATTTATAATTGTCGATTTCATTAATTTTTGGATTTCGTTGAAGTATTATTCACTTTGCAATATGAATTGGGCTGTATCGAAAAAACGTTTGGAATAGCTAACCAAATGTAAAGTTAATTAATTTAGCTACTAAGATTAGAAAACAGTTTATTTTGCCTCGAGGTCATCGAGTATGTGAGAAAATAACTAAACTTTGTGAAGCAAACACTAGGAGTAAATTCGAAGTTCACTACGCGGGTGGTTGAAATGGAAATGATATATGAATTAACAAGATCAGCTGTATCCATTCACTTGCTGTTACTAGAAGTGACCCCATGAGTATTGTTATAACTGTATGACTGACTTTATTATATCTGCATAACTACCGGTTTATTCGGATCAGTCAGTCAATCAGTCATCTGCAAAGTAGAACTTGGTACGTGCGTATATCAGTTCCAGTTGCCAAACCACATGAGCACACAAATATAAGTGTCAATCCAAGTCCCGTAGTGGCAAACGTAGTAGAAATATTAGCAGTAACAGATACGATTGGGATTCGAGACGTATACGCCAGTAAAATAAATTTAAAAAGATAGCAAATAGGTCATGAAGAATTCAGAAGGTTGGAATTTGATAGAACACAAAGAATGGATGCACCTGCGTCATAACAAGCGATTTTGAGCCATGTCATTCAAAGTCTCTAACTACCGGTTACCATTATCACACCGACTTCAATCAGGTAGTCTATACCTACTAACATGGCTCAGTCCAGTTGCCTGTAACTTCATGGGTTTGTGTAATGTTTTGGTTCGGCCGCACCTAGCTTTCCTCCGGCCTATCCCTAGATCACAAAACATCGCGCGATGGGGCAGCCGGTGGTTAGGCATACGTAACACATGTCCCAACCACCTCAACTGATGAAGACTCACTATTTCAACATTTGATTTGCCATTCTTACCTAGTACCTGTTTCCTAAAAACAGCATTGCTTACTCAGCGGTCCCATGATATACGAGCGATGCTCTGAAGACACCGATGATCGAAAACCAGTAACCTATGAATATCTCGTACACGTAATGGCCATGTTGCACTTCCATATTGTATGACGGAGCGAAAATGTTGAGCAGTAGACTCCACCATTGGTTAGCAGATGCATATCTCGCGTACGCCATATATGACACTACTTGACAAAAGTTAGTCGAGCCTCCTGCATCCGTACCGAGATTTCGTCACATATCAGGCAATCAGCGCCGATGAGACTTCCGAAATAAATGAAGCGGTCGACACGTTCAACTGCTTCACCCTCTATCGCTAGTTCAAGTGCTGATGCAAGCCCATCTTGAAGCAACACTTCACATTCGGAGGGGGAGAATCACATCCCGAACATGCTTGCATTGTTGCTCAAGGTGGTCAGAAGACTGCGTTTTGTTAAGGTTTTCACCAAACAGAAGTATGTCATCGGCATATTGTAGGTCAACAAGTGAATCTCCTGTGTCGTCTCTAACAGCATGTCAATGACCAGGTTGAATAAGGATGAGGAGAGTGGACAAACCTGACGAGCACCAATTGAAATAATGAATTACGATGACAGTTCGCCATAAGCCCTAATTCGACCAGTGATGTTAGAGTAGAGAGCCCGTAAAGGTTGGTGCACGTCATTAGTACACCTTTCAATGCACACACTGAAATAAAATCTCACGACCAACAGAGTCAAATGCCGCCTCAAGATAGAGAAATACTACTATTGTGGGACGTCCGAACGTGTGTCCATGTTCTGGGACATGAATAAGTGTGAATCTGCGATCTATACAGCCACGTCCATGTCTGAAACCAGACTGGTTTTCTCGAGTCTGGTCTTCACGAGCTCTAGTTAGACGTCTAACAAATTAGACACTATAATAGTTAGACTGATTCCTCCTTGTTTGTCACAAGAGGATTTTTGTCTTTTTTATAGACTGGGACAACCGGTGATTGAGACCAGTCAGATGGGATTACACTCAGTTTCCAGATTCTGAACCTCACTAAGAGATGGGGGAGTAGTATCAACTTACCAATCAGGTTGGCTAGAGATCGTGGGAACCGACGTGTGGCTGACGGCCAATCGAGCTGATCCCCAAAGTGTTCTGCTCATCGATCCAATCTTCTTGATTGAGGATGAATAACACGTCCATCTTTTTCTGTCATGGTCTCGCTAACAGTCGGATTTCTTATACCGGTTTCCTTGATAAGTCTGAACAGTTGTCTGCTACTGCCTATCACCGCCTCTTTTTACATCTCTTTTCCTTTCGCTATCCATCACTGTTCACGATCATTACACAGACTTCTTATCAGCCTGCGCTTAAGCATCCTCCACTCCGCATCGTTTTCAGAGCCAGATGGGATGGGATTCCGGGCGTCGATCAGATTAATAGATGCCACTGAAATCTAGTGACTTTCCATACGTTCTGGTCCAAGTTGCTAGCAGATAACACTGCTGCCTTCACGGCTTTCTGGATATCATTTCAAGTTGCCTCGGTGTTAGCATCACTTACATGGCTGCTGAACTGTTTTCCAAGTTATTCTCGAAGTATGCTCTCGGTATTTTTATCGTTGAGTAGAACTATGAGGGTTTGCTTGCCGTGTCTTTCTTACATCCAGCAATTCGCAAACTAATGCTCGTTCATATTAGAGCATGATCTGGATCCAAACATGTGCTGAGGAACGAGCGGTTGTCTTCTGTCAACCCTCTCCATTCAGCAGTATGCCTTCGCGTTCAGTTGCTGTTTTTAGTCCTATTGTTCTCTAATCGACATGCTTGACCAAAACTTCACTTTAAACTTAACCTGATCACATATGGTGTATGCGTAAATGTTACGTTTTTAATATGCGGTAGTAACTTCCGATGTTTTCACTAAACCGAGCATTTAGGAGATGCTTAGAAGTTTTGGAATGCTGTGAGTCATTAAACGTTAACCTATTAGGCACCTGTACTCTAATTGTTAAAGATCCAGTGATTTGAGGCAATCTTCATAAGGTTCGATTCTGAATTCTCGAACTGATTTCGTGACTCACTCTATGTATGTTCGATTGTGTTCCTATTATTTTGGGATCGGCGAAGAGACCAGATATTACCGTAATCTAAAAGAGACCGCTTCAACAATAATAAAATCATATCAAAGCCTAGCCCTGCTATATGGAAGCTGACTTTACCGAGCTTGGAGTGACAGACTCACATTTAAAAATCTTTGCGGAAATGAAGGCCGTACCGCTCAAAACCAACTGGCACCCCACACCTGGTGAAATTATAAGGGAGGTCTTTGAACATTTTGACGCTTTAAAACAGGCTATTCTTGAATGCGCAGACCTAACCGACCGACCAAATTACCCTTTGGTAGGTTATGCCTACAAATAAATACCTACTACTTGGTTTAGCCGGCGAAAAGCGGCATTTTACTCTGTGGATCGTGAGGTTCTGTGGCAGTGTCTGTCATTGAAAGGTGTACCAAAGAAGTACATTAACCTTATACAAGCTCTCTACTCGAACACTACTGTTTGGGTTAGAGCTTATGGTGAACTATTATCGGAATTGTTTACTTCAAGTGGTGTCCGTCATGGATGTCCACTTTCCCCATTCTTGTTTAATTTTGTCATAGACATGTCATAGACAACTTTTCCGACTTATCAAATAATTCGGTATTAGGAATCCAAATGTAAGTGAGACCATCTCGGAAAAGGATGGGACTATTATTTATTCTCAATCCAGGAGATTGGATCGATGGGCAGAACACTAGGGTTCAGTTCAACTGGCCTTCAGCCACACTTCGGTTACCCACGATATCCGGTCATTCTGAATGGCAAGTCCACGTAAGCTTTCCAAACCTTTGTGAAGTTGAAAAGGCTATAGGAAATCTGAAGCGCGAGAGAGTAGCAGGACCCGATAGATTGACGCTTGAGGCTTTTAAGGATGTGGTCCAGTTTTAGCAGCTAGATTGACTGAAACCTTAGGTAGAATCTAGGAAATGGACGCAATCCCATCCGACTGGTCTCAATCCCTGACTGTCCCAATTTATAAGAAAAGACAAAAGCCCGTGTGGCAATGACAGGGGAATCAGTCTAACTAATATAGTTTCTAAATTGTTAGCCCCGGTAATCCTTAGACGCCTAACTAGAGCTCGTGAGAATCAGACTCGAGAAAACCAATCTGGTTTCAGACCTGGACGTGGTTGTATAGACCATATCTTCACACTACGACAGGTTTCGGAACACGGACACACATTTACGCTCCCTACAATAGTTGTCTTTCTGGACCTAAACGCGGCATTTGACTCTGTGGATCGTGAGGTTCTGTGGTAGTGTCTGTCATTGAAAGGTGTACCAAAGAAGTACATTAACCTTATACAAGCTCTCTACTCGAACACTACTGTTTGGGTTAGAGCTTATGGTGAACTATTATCGGAATTGTTTACTTCAAGTGGTGTCCGTCATGGATGTCCACTTTCCCCATTCTTGTTTAATTTTGTCATAGACATGCTCCTAGATATAACATTATCTTCGTCTGAATTTTCAGGAGTTGACCTGCTACCAGAAAAATCGCTTGCTGACTTAGAATATGACGATGACATAGTTCTATTTGGTGAAGACGCTGACGAAATGCAGTGTCTTCTGACTACCCTAAGAAACAATGCAAGCATGTTCGGGATGCGGTTCTCACCCTCGAAATTCAAAATGTTGCTTCAAGACTGGGTTACATCGGCACCTGAACTAGTGATAGAGAGTGATGTAGTCGAGCGTGTAGACCGCTTTACTTATCTTCGGAGTCTCATCAGTGCCGATGGCCTGGTGACTGACGAAATCTCAGCTCGGATAGAGAAGGCTCGATTGTCTTTTGCCGACCTGCGTCACTTATGACGTAGGCGTGATATCCGTTCGCTAACCAAAGAACGAGTGTACTGTGCAGCAGTTCACTCCGTTCTCCTATATGGCTGTGAAACATGGCCAGTGAGAGTAGAAGATATTCGTCGGTTACTGGTTTTCAATCATAGGTGTCTTCGAAGCATTGCTCGTATATCGTGGGACTACCGAGTAAGCAATGCTGTCGTTAGGAAACGAGTACTAGGCAAGGATGGCAGATCAATTGATGAGGTGGTGAAACTTCATCAGTTGAGGTAGTTGGGGCATGTGTTGCGTATGCCGAACCACCGACTGCCTCGACGAACTTTGTTTTGTAGTGTAGGAATTGGTTGAAAGCAGAGTAGGGGAGGCCAAACCAAAACATGGCAGAAATCCATGAAATCATTGACGAATGGACTTAGCCATGTCTGTAATTGTCGACTACCTGGTTGGGGTCCGCGAGATGATAACAATCGATGGCTAGAGACCTTGAATGACATGGCTCAAAGTCGTTCGCAATAGTGCCAGCGCATTTATTCATTGTGCTCTCTCAAATCCTAATCTTCTGGTTTCTTCGACTCTAAACTTTTTCCACTGAATCATACTTCTTGAATAATATCTTCTAATCCTAACCTCTCCGATTACTTCTAATACCTTTACTACCTCTTATACCATTGGATTTGAATTGACAATTATATCTCTGTGCTGATGTGGTATGGCGACATGAACTGATGTACTTACGTACGAAGTTCTACGTTGCATCTGACTGACTGACTGACATCAAAGTTTTACACTTTTGGTAGTATGGCTCATAGACGCAGACACATTCAATTTTTATCTTCCTCTCGACCTTTAATTTCAGTATTTTTCATTTATCAGTTGTTTGTTTCTCTTCAACTTTTATTCTTTGTAGATCAGATCTTTTAGTTTCACCTTCAATTTTTATTGGAGCTAGTCTTGCATTTCTTTTGTTTGGTGTCTTTTGCATAATCTACGTGTATTCAAGATTAGCGCGTAATCTTCGTAAAGCATCTAATAAATTGTTTCACGAAACAAACCATGGTGTATTTGCCTCACCTGCTTTCCCTCAACCAGTACAGGTAAGCAAACATAGATATTAGGTGTTCTGTCTATTTTGAATTTCACTAGCACTCTTGAAAATATCAATGACACTTTAGGCTTAGCATTTTGGACTGTCGGTGTAGTTTTAAAATGCGGATACTGAATAGATTTTGATCAGCTAAAAATACCGGTAGACATTTTTATAGTTATGTGTGTGAAGCTACGAGATATATTTTCTCTCTGTAGTCACGGCGCTTAGGTATTTACGTACTTCACTTGCCTGGCAAGCGACAGAAGTTACTATTAATAACCAACAGTAAGATTTATTCCTCCTGTTAAAACTCATGTGATGAATCTGGGGCTTCAGTTAAGTCAAAACCTCCTGGATTTCACTGGTTGTTGCGATCTAAAGTAGGATGAGATTCTATTTGCAAACAATGTTAAAGCATCAACTCAAGTAGCTCGTATGTTAACAGAGACTGATCGAACAGTCTTGAATTTCAACTAAAGGAAATCACCAAACCTTTTTAGTTATTAATGAAAGATTCATTTTATCAATCGAACATTGTAGGCTGGATTCATTAAGGATCAATATGAGTTGAGGTATGATTAAAACCAGGGGGCACCGATCAACCTTTTCATCTTAGCGCTGGACTCCTTGGCGGTGTGCACTAGAGACGGAATCCGTCACTTTTAGATTACATGGTGAACGTCTAACTACCTGGACTATTTGGTTGGCATCTAATAGTATGATTCCAACCTTGGTGAGTTTGCAACTGTTTTCGTTGGTGCCTCAACTGAAACTGATCTTTTTCGAATACAATCTAAGGATTAAAACTATATCTTTTTTTTTGTTTTTTTTTCTTTTGTTAATAGATTTTATTTATTTGTTTGTTTTTTCACACAAAGAATTTAGAGTTGAGTATTACATCTGATCTACAACCAAATGGACCACCAAAGAAAATGTTACTTTCTAGCAGTAGTCGATTGACAAAAATTTCTCCTGAAAAATCTATTCATGAAAATCTATCCGAGAAAACAAATATAACTACTACTACTGCAAACAATAATAACAAATTGTCAGCAATATTTGATAATTCCGCAAGTAAATCAATTAAAAATTTAATTAATCACCATAAACTAAGACATTCTTATAAAATGAATGATGACAGTTTGAAAAAACGTAAAAATTCTACACCTATAAAAGCTCGACCTGTACTCCTGAAAAGGTGATCATGGCCTGTATTGTTGTTCTTTCTTGTTTAGCTTTCTTTCTATTGTGCAATTTTCTTTTTACCATTTTTAATGAACAGAGTTTTTTGTCGAGAATCACGACTGTGATTATGAGGGATGCTTAGTCATGTTTTTTTAGATAATAATAATAATGTTAGCTGATACCTATCAGAAGTCATTCAACTACATTGTAAATTTGTACAGACTCAGGCGTATAATATTGTTAAAAAGGGTTTATATTGTCAGTTTGTTGACAATCAGGACTGAATTCCAACTAGTCTTTGTTGGATCTATTTGAGTTTCTTAAGCTGAATGTACCTGTATCTAGTGTTAAAGTGTTCATATTTAGGACTTCAACTCTCTCTTTGAAAGTCAATGCATTGTCCACGGAGTTTAGTGACTACAAGTATATCTATCTGACAAGAACCAAGTAAGATTAAACATACCAACTGAATTTCATTATTAGTCACTATTCATATGTTCTATAGACGGAGATTATTATGACAGTTTGGTACATACTTAACAAAGCCTTCACCTACATCCTCAGTATCGTTTTCTGATTTAAGTAGGAGTGTTGGCCATTGGCTACTACGAGATGAGGGAAAGAAGAAATATTTAACTTGGCTATTTTTCAGCCAACTAATTTTGTGAATTTTAAATAAGCACGTATTATAAACTTAGTTTATGAGATTTTTATGTGTTCCAAATACTAAGCCATTGTTGGATTATCACTAGTTCGCATATGCTACAAGTCAATAAATGATTATATTTCTGTTGAGATTTATTATTTGCAATCTAATGTGGCTTGTGCTTTACTGATATATTCATATGTAAGTTGTGAGACAATACGACTAGGCGCTAAGCTAATAATGGTCTATTCCGAAATCAGTAAAGACGAAACAGACTGCTGCTTTTTCTCTACCTGCTAACAAGAGATTGACTATCTTCTAGCACTGTTTTTTCTGCTTAAGATTCATTATTTTTGGTTGTATACAAAGTAAGCATTTTATTCCTATTATTGTGACGTTGCTCTTATCCTATACTCTTGTTTGAGGCATTAACTGTTGTTATATCATTTCTCATTTATGAACTATAGTTAATTGACTGCTATGCGTTACCCCAGTTCACACTCACTATTACTGTTATTTTGTATTGATGTCAGTTTTCTAGTTGGTTTACGATGCAGTCTGATTTTGCATGTATATAAAGGCATGAATGAAATACTAACGATCTGATCTGTCTGTCTGACTCATAAGTCGTTGTTTTTCCTCTACTCCGTGGGGCAGGAAATTGAGAGGCTGACGTGTCTGTACAGTGATTAGCGATCATCAAGGTCATTGTATATATTGCACAAACACAAAAAACTGGCGACGGTTTTTGAAGTGGATCCAACCTACGCAGTCATTGGTCATTAATTCTGCTACAATTTATTAGCCAATCAGCACTAAGGATCGCATTCAGTGTCATAAAGCGGATTAAAAAAAAAATCAATATGACTATCACATTTGAGCAAATGAAATTATGTCTACAGCAGCAACAACAGTAATTCCTAGCCTCTCAAGAACAAATGCTGGAGTCATTAATGTCAAAAATTGCTATCCAGTCCAGAGTAACTCCTGAAGAAAAAGGAATAGAGTTATCACTCAGTTCAGTTCCAGAATTTATTTTTGATGCAGAGAATGGCAATACATTTGAATCATGGTTCGGTAGAATCGAAGATCTTTTTCAAGTGGAATATAAACATATAGATGACGCGAAGAAGGTGCGTTTATTAGCACAAACACTTGGTCAGCATGAATATTCTAAATACAAGAATTATATCCTCCCACGACATCCAAGAGATCTGACATTTAATGAAACTATTGACATTTTAAATGCGATATTCTGTGAACCAGCATCTTTATTTCATATTCGTTATAAATGCCTTCAATTGATAAAAGATGCAGATGAGGATTATTTGTCTTATGCAAGCAGAAAAAACACTGGTGTGACGTAAATATAATTTGGCTTTACCAATATTGCAACATCCCAAAATATCTTGAAATACATTCGAATGCTTTTCAAAAAGATGAGCTGTAGTCAAGACGTTGTTGTTTGATGTAACATTTAATACAGGTAGATTTTTAGGAATATGTGGATCTTTCAATGTACACTGCGTCTAGTGGCACCTTCCAAAGATTTAATTTGTCAATCCAATCAATACCAATAAGATCTAAATCATGTCTGTTTGTTAAATAACAAGTTCCAGTAAAAGAATGTACTCCGAATTTAACAGCACAATTTATCATCCCAACGGGTTTTAGAATATCTCCAGATGCATTACGCGCTGTATGTTCAGTAGGCAGTAATGGGGGGCAACCCATCAATTCCCAAGTTTTCTTAGAAATAAGTGTGATATCAGATGCTGTATCCAACTGCAAACGAATCTGAACATCATTAACTAATAGATCTACATATCTTCTTTTGTCAGCAAGATTACACGTGAATGTCGAATATATACTACGTATGGAACTCTTATGATTCCGGGGAAACTTTATGCGTCGTCCAGATTTCAAATAATTCTGTTGTCGGCAGACCGTTTCTTTATGACCAACTTTATAGCAAATGTTGCACTTATGACGTTTATAATGGCAAAATCTCGCGAAATGCCAAGATCCACAAAACCAGCACTTCGAACACGGTTTGAATAATTTAGTTTGACGTTGATCATTCATTGGAACACTCTTACTTTTGTTGGATTTGACAGCATGGATATTGCAATTTAGTGAAGCATTACCTTTGGTCTCTACAAGCTTCGTATCATTTTTGAGGTTGACCAGTCGTTGACATTCTGACGTTACCATCTGTAGTGTCATGTCATCGTTTTGCTCAGTGCGTGATAGCAATATCGTTCGAACATCAGCATCTGCTGGTGACTGGAGTCCAGAAACAAATAATAAACATTTAAACTGATCATTTGACAATGCGTTTAATTTAAAACGTTCGGCTTGTAGACACTACAGATGGTAACGTCAGAATGTCAACGACTGGTCAACCTCAAAAATGATACGAAGCTTGTAGAGACCAAAGGTAATGCTTCACTAAATTGCAATATCCATGCTGTCAAATCCAACAAAAGTAAGAGTGTTCCAATGAATGATCAACGTCAAACTAAATTATTCAAACCGTGTTCGAAGTGCTGGTTTTGTGGATCTTGGCATTTCGCGAGATTTTGCCATTATAAACGTCATAAGTGCAACATTTGCTATAAAGTTGGTCATAAAGAAACGGTCTGCCGACAACAGAATTATTTGAAATCTGGACGACGCATAAAGTTTCCCCGGAATCATAAGAGTTCCATACGTAGTATATATTCGACATTCACGTGTAATCTTGCTGACAAAAGAAGATATGTAGATCTATTAGTTAATGATGTTCAGATTCGTTTGCAGTTGGATACAGCATCTGATATCACACTTATTTCTAAGAAAACTTGGGAATTGATGGGTTGCCCCCCATTACTGCCTACTGAACATACAGCGCGTAATGCATCTGGAGATATTCTAAAACCCGTTGGGATGATAAATTGTGCTGTTAAATTCGGAGTACATTCTTTTACTGGAACTTGTTATTTAACAAACAGACATGATTTAGATCTTATTGGTATTGATTGGATTGACAAATTAAATCTTTGGAAGGTGCCACTAGACGCAGTGTGTACATTGAAAGATCCACATATTCCTAAAAATCTACCTGTATTAAATGTTACATCAAACAACAACGTCTTGACTACAGCTCATCTTTTTGAAAAGCATTCGAATGTATTTCAAGATATTTTGGGATGTTGCAATATTGGTAAAGCCAAATTATATTTACGTCAAGGAGCTACACCAGTTTTTCGCCCAAAACGGCAGGTACCCTACGCCTCTATCGATAGAGTTGATAAAGAACTTGACCGATTAGAAAAGCTTGGGGTTATACAACCTATTACTTTCTCATCATGGGCAGCTCCGATTGTTGTCGTTCAAAAAGCTAACGGTACTGTTCGTCTATGTGCTGATTTCCCTACTGGATTAAATAATGCTCTGCAAAATCATTCATATCCATTGCCATTGCCCGAAGATCTATTCATTAAACTCAATGGTGGACGTTATTTTGCAAAACTGGATTTATCTGATGCCTATTTACAAGTAGAAGTTGATGATGATTCTAAGCCTTATCTAACAATAAATACTCATTGTGGACTTTACCAGTACAACAGACTACCTTTTGGTGTAAAGCCAGCGCCTGCTATTTTCCAACAGTTAATGGACATTATGATATCAAATCTTGATAGTGTTGCCGCTTATCTTGATGATATTATTGTTGTGGGTTCCTCTAAAGATGAGTTATTATCGCGTTTGGATAAAGTACTTACACGAATATCACAATCTGGTTTCCAACTGCAGAAACATAAATGTGAATTTTTCCTTCAATCTGTTAAATACCTTGGATTTATATTTGATAAACATGGGCGCCGTCCAGATCCAGATAATATACATGCTATCACACAAATGCCTGCACCTACCGATGTGGTGACTTTAAGATCATTCTTAGGTATGATTGGATATTATAGTGTTTTTGTTCCATCTATACAAAAGTTACGCCATCCCTTGAATCAACTTCTAAAAGCGAATGCAACATGGAATTGGTCAGAAGCATGCCAGAATTCCTTCGAAGAAATCAAGAAAATCTTATCCTCTGATTTACTACTAACCCACTATAATCCAAAATTAGAGATAGTTGTCGCTGCCGATGCTTCTAACTACGGTATTGGTGCTGTTATTAGTCATCGTTTCCCTGATGGTAAAGAGAAACCGATAGCTCATGCGTCTAGATCTCTAAATGCTACTGAGAGGAGATACAGTCAGGTAGAAAAAGAAGGATTGGCACTGATTTTTGCAATAAAGAAGTTTCATAAAATGATTTATGGTCGACCATTTACGTTGCTGACAGACCACAAACCTCTCCTCTCTATTTTTGGGGCAAAGTCCGGCATTCCAGTACATACTGCCAATCGTTTACAGCGTTGGACAATTATGTTGTTAGCTTATGACTTTAAGATTCGCTATAAATCAACAATGACTTTTGGTCACGCTGACGTCCTCTCCAGATTAATTGCGACTCAAAAGTTTGAGAACGAAGATGTTATTATTGCTACGGTGTCACTGGAAGATGATATTCATCACATACTGCAAACTTCTATTCAGGCTACACCTTTGTCAGCAATGGACGTAAAATCTACAACTAGGACGGATGAAGAGCTTCAGACAATTATTCGCTATCTTTTGTGTGGTTGGCCCCCACACCTCAACGCAACAGAACGACAATATTTTCATCGACGAGACGCCCTTGCTGTTGTTGATGATTGTCTTATGTTTGGTGACCGTGTAGTTATTCCCAAATCTTTGCGCCACAAAGTCCTGTCACAATTACATTCTGCACATCCAGGTGTCGCCCGAATGAAAGCATTGGCCCGCAGTTACGTATACTGGCCAAACATTGATACTGATGTTACGAATTATGTATTGAGATGTTCAAAATGTGCGCAAGCTGCGAAAGCCCCTAGAAAAACCGAACTTTGCTGCTGGAAACCAGCGACACATCCATGGTCGAGAGTTCATGTAGACTTCGCTGGTCCCCTAAAGGGCAACCACTACTTAATTATCATCGAAGCTTTTTCTTAGTGGCCGGAAGTACATTGTATGAGGTCTACATCAACCATGGCTACACTAGACAAACTGCGTCAAATATTCAGCTGTTTCGGAGTCCCAGAAGTACTTGTCTCCGATAATGGCCCACAATTCATGTCTGCAGAATTCCAGAAGTTTTGTGCTTTTAACAGCATTAAGCATATCAGAACCCCTCCGTATCACCCACAATCAAATGGGCAAGTCGAGAGATTCGTCGACACTTTTAAGAGAGCGTTACTCAAAGCCTAGGGGGAAGGAAGATTAGAAGAGATATTGTATAAGTTCCTGTTTGCTTATCGTTCAACACCGAATCGTGAGACGGTTGGTGAAGTGTCCCCTGCGGAAGCTATGCTTAGAAGAAAAATCAGAACGCCATTAGATAGTTTGAAGCCAAATTTTGCAATGACTATCGAACGTAATTCCAGAATGGAAATACAATACAACAAGAAGCATGGAGCGAAGCCCAGAAGATTCTTACCCGGACAAAAGGTTTGGGTACGTGATTTTCATCGTAAAACAATTGAGTGGGTTCCTGGAATTATCCTAAGGAACAGAGGAAAAGTTATCTATGAGGTCGGAGTAAGCAATATGAAATGGCTAAGACATGCCAACCACATCCGACCGTCCAGATGCGATGACGGGAATGAAGTTAAGCTGAGTACTCCGATGACGTTAAACGTGTTACTTGATTTGACTGACAGAAGCAATCAGAAAACGAAAGCAGTGGAGACAAGAGCAGCATCATTTCTAAGGAAATCACAAAGAATTCGACGGAAACCAAACAGGATCAAAGTGAACCCCTATGATAAATCTTACCGATGATATTTATTTTTCTTTTCAAAAAAAGGGGGAGGTGTTATGGCGGATACTGAAAGAAGATTGACTATCTTCTAGAACTGTTTTTTCTGCTTAAGATTCATTATTTTTGGTTGGATACAAAGTAAGCATTTTATTCCTATTATTGTGACGTTGCTCTTATCCTATACTCTTGTTTGAGGCATTAACTGTTGTTATATCATTTCTCATTTATGAACTATAGTTAATTGACTGCTATGCGTTACCCCAGTTCACACTCACTATTACTGTTATTTTGTATTGATGTCAGTTTTCTAGTTGGTTTACGATGCAGTCTGATTTTGCATGTATATAAAGGCATGAATGAAATACTAACGATCTGATCTGTCTGTCTGACTCATAAGTCGTTGTTTTTCCTCTACTCCGTGGGGCAGGAAATTGAGAGGCTGACGTGTCTGTACAGTGATTAGCGATCATCAAGGTCATTGTATATATTGCACAAACACAGAAAAGAGAAAATTCTAGGTCTATCTAGAAGTTATATCAGTAGACACCTAAATTTGATCAATTACCATTCAAGTACTCTATTAGTTAAAGAATTGGGTGGACCGAACAGATATCCTTTGTATGAAAAACCAAAGTGAATTAATTAATATAACCAAATTATACCGAAAGTTAATGAGATTTACACTGAATTAATCAATACCAACGAAAGAGCATTGATTGTAAAATGAGTATGTTACATTTGAATTAGTTTATGCAAATGAGAATGTACTGAAAATCAAGTGAATGAAAATAATCTTAAACTAATATGTAAGTTGATTTCTCCCTTACATGTTTTGCCAAACGATTTAATATCACTAACACAAAATTTATCTAGACTTTCAATCGGCATACTTACGTCAATAAAGGCGTTCGTCTATTAAACGAGCGTTATCACACACTGATTCGTTTAAGATAAAGACAGTTTTCCACATATCTCTTGTTCAAGCTCTCAGTAGAATCATCAATACTGAAATAATGTAAATAAGGAAATAAACAGGAGTGTATTTGACTTGATTAAAACCAATTTTTCTGTCTATAACTAGAAATTATACAGGTTGTTAGCTAAGTTCACTCTTCATCCCAACATGAAAAGTAGTTGAACAGGTGAATGGATCAATTTTATATTAATTAGCTCAAATCTTTTCAACTTCAAAAAAGTTATAAATGGTTTTAGAAGCTTTAATACAATGGTTACGTGTAATTTTTGTCCAGACTTAATTAAACGAATAATCTTCTACATAATAATCCGATTACTTTTAAGTCAATATTTTACTGGAAGACAAAGGGAAAATACTCATAAGAACACGCAGTAACCAATGAGAACATCTCGTGGAGCTGATTCAGGAAGTTGAACAATCATAAATTAGAAGTTACAAAAATGGCAAGCTATAAAATCTATGTTATGAATGTCAATTCATTAGAAAAAGTTTAAAAAATAACCAGCATTGTTGTATAAATCTACTATCATGAAGAAACTTCAAATGAAATAATGAAAGTTAAAGAAGAATGGTACGAAGATTAGGTTAAGAGTAGTGTTTACCAGTAGAACAATGAATGTATATACAGTTTCGGGTATAAAGTATACTTTCCAGTCCCTTAGAACATTTGAAATATCCACTAAATAAAATTCTGTTGATTAGATGACACTTCGTTGAAATATTTTTGAAGTACAGTTTTCTTTACGTTTAACGATTTTTCGACTATTAATATTTCAAACAGAAGGCGTATATCACCGAAAAGGGCGTTTATTTAAATCAAGACTGTTGTCCATAGATTAACTGGAACGATGTTGCGTTAAAGGCCCCACATAATCGGTTTCTGAAATTAAAATTAAGATGAATTTTAACTATTTCATATAGGCAATATATTCTCCCTTGGTCAATATTATTAAAATACTCTGTAAACAATAAAAGAAATTGTGAATTTCACTCTGAATAAGTCGATTATACATATGTTCATAGTTGGATATGCATGTTATGTTATGAAATTATACAACTGTAACTTGTACATATGTGATCTATTTATATTGGAGTTTACAAATGTTCCCAAACAAGCTGAGTTTTTTACGTGGTCACTATAAAAATGTTTGTAAGGACTTATTTCTAACAAACTGTCAATAAAATGGCATTCCACATGGTTCTTATTTAATTTATTCGTGAATTAAAGTTGCTTCTCTTCGGCAAACGCATAACCTGAAGTCAAGTATCGTAGAAGAAAATTTCTAGAATAAGAAAGACTATTAGTAGCAACATTTTTATGCTGTCTAAGGAGGGGAACATGTGTGGTCTAGAACAGTCCACAAAATTTTCTGAAATCAAGTTCAAACAAGGGCTCACTAGTATGATTTATATTGTAAAAAATGAAACCACAAAACATTCTGACATACTGATCCGATGTTTGAATTAGTTCAATTGTCCTATCGATTCTCAAGGACTTAGATACTAAAGCCACCTATTTGAAGCATCTAAAGCCTCATGTAAGATAATTTTTTTACTTCAAATATGAGTTTTTGGCTAAATTATCTTGGTTAAAAGTAGCTTACCTGCTTTTCCCTCTGGCTTCACTATTAATATTTGTAAATTTTATATCCCTCCAGCTCAATGGATTAGATTCTGGACGCCACTGGTTTACAAATTTCCCTTGTTCTTTTGGCCTAATTAATACACTTTCAGATATACGCTTCTTGTTATTATCGTTTGTAAAAATTTCGTTCTTCCTGGATTTGTAGTTTCGTGCGGTAAATAACTGTCGACCACTTTTCATATTCACGGTAGGTAATTGGTCTGATGTTAGCCTTGGTGGAGCCGACTGAACAACTAGATCCAGTGGATAGTTCTAATAAAACAATAATATTTGTGAACCGAAGCTATAATATTGTTAAAATCTAATATATTTCTAACAGATATATATTAGAGATTATTAAAATATACTGATTCTACTATTTCATATTTCACAAAACTGACTAGCTTGTCTTCAGTTTAGTTAATATGTAAAATGGCGTAGGCATAGCATTGAGTCCTAGGGCAGAACAATCTCTCCTTGACTGGATCCCAATAGATAGTCGATTGTGCGCTGTCCGACTAAATGGGACAGTAAGGACTCGGAAAGATAAGGACAATCGCCGTTGCCTCTTCGTCGTATCTGTCTATGCCCCCACTAAATGCAGTTCAGACGAGGTTAAGGATGAGTTTTACAGAAAGCTTTCGGACCTCCTCCAAAAAGCTAGGCGCTCTGATATTGTAATAATGGCTGGTGACTTTCATGCTCAAGTAGGTAGACTAAGTGAGCAGGAGAGACACCTAGGTGGATGTTATGGTGTCCCGGCTCAGAGAACAGACAATGGTGACCGTCTGTTGCAAGCATGCTCAGACAACCGCCTATTCTTAGCAAACACTAACTTTATGCATAAGGAAAAGCATCTGTTGACCTGGCGACCCCCGAAGTCGTCTCAACGTTGGACTCAACTAGATCACATCGCCATCAGCCACCGATGGAGGGGTTCGATAGAGGACTGTCGCTCGTTCTGGAGCACATGTCTAGATTCAGATCATGCCCTAGTGCGAGCGCGTATTTGTTTGAAGCTTACTAGGCGTAGGAAAGACACCGTAAGGAAGCCTCTTAGGGTTTTACTTAATGATAATAAGGCGAAAAATATATTTCAGGAACAACTAGAAAGACAGTTAGGCTACCATTTAAGCGATGGAATGATATCAAAAAGGCTGTGGAAACAGCAGTGATATCTGCTAGTAAGGTTGACCATAAGGCTAGAATGAAACCGTGGATCTCAGTCGCATCCACCGATCTGATGGATGCCCGAAAACTCATCCCACCTGGCTCTAAACATGATGAAGAACGAAGTCAACTTAGGCGCAGACTTATAAAAAGCCTACGTAACGATCGCGAACAGTGGTGGGTGGCGAGAGCAAAAGCGATGGAAAAGGCAGCGGCGATCGGCAACAGTAGACAACTTTTCCGCCCTATTAAAAAAACTGGTATTAAGAACCCGAATGTGAGTGAGACTATCTCGGAAAAGGATGGGATTATTATCCATTCTCAATCCAGGAGACTGGATCGATGGGCAGAACACTTTAGGGATCAGTTCAACTGGCCTCGAGCCACTCTTCAGTTACCCACGATCTCCAGTCATCCTGAATGGCAAGTCGACGTAAGTCCCCCTAGTCTTAATGAAGTCGAAAAAGCGTTAGGAAATCTGAAGCGAGGACGAGCTGCAGGTCCTGATAGACTGACCCCTGAGATCTTTAAGGATGGTGGTTCAGTTTTAGCAGCTAGGTTGACTGAGATCTTAGGTAGAATCTGGGAAATGGACGTAATCCCATCCGACTGGTCTCAATCACTGATTGTCCCAATCTATAAGAAAGGACAGAAGTCTTCTTGTGACAATCACAGGGGAATAAGTCTGACTAATATAGTATCTAAAATACTGGCCTCAATAATACTTCGACGCTTGACGAAAGCTCGTGAAGAGCAAACTCGAGAAAACCAATCTGGTTTTCGACCTGGACGTGGTTGTATAGACCACATTTTCACACTACGACAGGTCCTGGAACACAGACACACATTTAGGCGTCCTACAATAGTTGTTTTCCTGGACCTTAAGGCGGCATTTGACTCAGTGGATCGTGAGGTTCTGTGGCAGTGTCTGTCATTGAAAGGTGTACCAAATAAGTACATTAACCTCATACAAGCTCTCTACTCGAACACCACTGGTCGAGTGAGAGCTTATGGCGAACTGTCACCGGAATTCTCTACTTCAAGTGGTGTCCGTCATGGATGTCCACTTTCTCCATTCTTGTTTAATTTTATCATAGACATGCTCCTAGAAATAACCTTATCCTCGTCTGAATTTTCTGGAGTAGACCTTCTACCAGGTGGCTCGCTTATTGACTTAGAATATGCCGATGACATTGTCCTACTTGGTGAAGACGCTGACAATATGCAGAGTCTTCTGACTACCCTAAGCAACAATGCAAGCATGTTCGGGATGCGGTTTTCCCCCTCGAAATGCAAAATGTTGCTTCAAGATTGGGTTTCATCGGCACCTGAACTAGTGATAGGGAGTTAAGTGGTCGAACGTGTAGACCGCTTCACTTATCTCGGGAGTCTCATCAGTGCTGATGGCCTGGTGACTGACGAAATCTCGGCACGGATACAGAAGGCTCGATTGGCTTTTGCCAACCTGCGTCACTTATGGCGTAGGCGAGATATCCGTTTGGTTACTAAAGGACGAGTGTACTGCGCAGCAGTTCGCTCCATCTTACTTTATGGCTGTGAAACATGGCCAATGAGAGTAGAAGATACTCGTCGGTTATTAGTTTTCGATCATAGATGTTTAAGAAGCATTGCTCGTATATCGTGGGACACCCGAGTGAGCAATGCTGTCGTTAGGAAACGAGTACTAGGTAAGGATGGCAGATCAATAGATGAAGTGGTGAAACTTCATCAGTTGAGGTGGTTGGGACATGTTGCGTATGCCTAACCACCAACTGCCTCGAAGAGCTTTGTTTTGTAGTGTGGGAATAGGTTGAAAGGAGGGTAGGGGCGGCCAGACCAAAACATGGCAGAAATCCATGAAGTCATTGACTAGTGGACTTAGCCATGTCGGTAATTGTCGACTACCTGGTTGGGGTCCGCGAGATGATAATAATCGATGGTTAGAGACCTTGAATGACATGGCTCAAAATCGTTCGCAATGGCGCCAGTGCATTTATTCTTTTTGTTCTCCCAAATCCTAATCTTCTGAGTTCTTCAACACCTCTAGTTTTTACTTTCTTAACTTTTCTCATTGAATCATACTTCTTGAATAATATCTTCTAATTCTAACCCCTCCGATTACTTCTAATACCTTTACTACCTCTTCTACTATTGGATTTGAATTGGCAATCTCTGTGCTGATGTGGTATGGCGACATGAACTGATGTACTTACGTACGAAGTTCTACGTTGCAACTGACTGACTGACTAATATGTAAAATGAAACCTTGAGCTCGATTTTTAAAAATAAGTGACATATTTTTTAGTAGTTCAGACAGATTTTTAAGGTGTTTTAGTTAACTTAAGTGTCAGTAATCAAAAGTAATTACGAAGACAAAATGAGACAGACAAAGCCCCAGATGAAAGTATCTAGTTTCAGATTGTAAGAGTATGAAAATGAAAAAATAAAAATAGAAAAAAGGATAGTAGGATATCACACATTAGGTTTTAAAGTTGTGACATGATAAAAATCAGATTGGTCGACGTCGGTAAAAGTGATCTCGAGTTGTAAGGGTAGCTCCTGAAGAGAGTTAGATTTATTTCATCCATACTACTCGTCTTTAAATGTCGGGACTAATTTTATTTTTATAGTGGAGGTAAAGTGGTATGAACATAATAATTACCACGATAGTCGAATAAATTCAAGAATAAAATATTACAATTAAAATGCATTTTAGAACCAGAGAATAAATTGGTGGTTTTTATGTTTTAGGTAAGGACTTATGAATTCTGTACATAAAAACGTCATCTAAATGGTGGATTCGATAGTTTTTAGTAAGCGTTTTGTCTGATTAACAACGTGTAAAAAAACGATGGTCAACTAAGATGAATCATAGTCTTAAATAGTGCTCATACTTGTGAACTTAAGTTAGTCAGTTCTCAACTCAACGTTCGTAGATAATGATAGTTTACATGTACTATGCTTTTCAACTTCAGTGAGACTATCAACGAGGCTCTAGACGTTTGGCCAGTATTGAAGTCATGAAACGTAAACGTTGCATGGCACTTACTTCGAAATATTGACAGGTTCTCTTGACAGATGAAATAAGTTGACAACGATATCTAAAATTCATCCCTTCAAAATTGCATGCAGTAGGGCAACTCAGCACAAGACTGTAGGTCTATTGTTCCTTATTTTTAATATAAGAATCCTACTTGGTGATTATAGATTCCTCATGTATACTTATCCTGACGATATTACAGCTTAGCGAAAGCAATAATGAATATGTGCGTGACCTGTAAGTTATGCTGGTGTAATAAATCAATATCAAGTTAACTTGGTGCTTGCCTTTGCAGCTAAACATTAAATATTAGGTATGCATACTATAGGTACGGATGCAGAGACCATATACAACTACCCTTCATTTTCAGTTGAATCTTCCAGACTGGTATAATGCAAAAAGAGACATTCATATAAATAAAAGGGAGCACGTCTACCAGAATGTTTTTTACCTTAATTTAGTGCTGGAAGGTTGGTGGACATCGGAAGGATCCCAAATATAATGCAGAAAGTCTCCTGAAAAACTTAAAGCCGTCAGATGTATGGTTTGAAATGGTTAACTCAGGCTATCAAATTTTAAATTTCTATGTAGTAATACGTTGTGTACAGACAGGTGACACCGGGAAATGATTTTGGTTTGAATTATCTCTCACTTTAATTCTGGTAAAGTTAGAATATTTAGACTGAAAATGTGACGGTTTGAGAACATAGATTTATAAAGTTGGCAATCAGTTTGTATGATACAGTTGAGAAGCTTATCAGTAAATTGACTAAAAGCATCGGTCTTTTCTCTTCGATAAGCTTGGAAACTTTACCTGTAACTCAGGTTTCAACTGTCAGAGTTATTATTATTACTATTACTATATGTGTTAATTTTCAGGTTAATTTTCTGAACACATGTTGACATACATAAAATATTATGAACAATCATGTGATGACAATACCTACCTGTAAATATTCGCTATCCCACGATTTGTCATAGATGGGCCTCAGTTCCATTTTCCTAAAAATAAAGCTCTTGTCAGAAGATTTGCGCGATTTTTCACTGGAGGGGAGTAGTAACTTCTTATTCCACAAATTGTTTCTGATCTTCATATTTCGTTTGTGATCTGTTTGACGGATATCAATGAGTGAATATAGTCTCGATCTTATATAGGACTCATTTCTTAGAACTCTGTCCACTTCGCAGTTAACACTGAATAGCTCTCTATCAGTTCGTCTCTAAAAGTAATATTGCTGTACCATAAAACGTTACTTGGAGCTTTTGGAAAGTTTCTGCACATATTCGATCTTTAAGTTCTCTAGACAAGTCAGCCAGTAAACCGACATCCATAACAAGAGAATTCTCGTGATATGTCATTATAAATATGTCTAGAAATATTGTTTGATTAAAGAGCTCAATTTTATAACTACACCAGAAGTCGTCAATAGCGATGTACAATATTCAATACCCAAAATGGTGAGAGATTTGTTAACCTATGTGCCTTCAACAATCTGTTTGGTCAAAGGTAGCACAATATTCACACACAAAGCTATATAGATTTCACCGGATCATACTAAACACAACCATATTGACAATATCTGTATCAATAAAAAGTTCAAAAGGACCATGGAGGACGTGAGAACCAAGAGAGGAGCTAATATAGCCTCAGATCACCACTTTCTGGTCACCAAAATGAAATTGAAAATCGGGAAGCACAGGGAAAAAGGGGGGAAAAACTTTAAAAAGTTTTATATCAACTTTCTTCGGGATATTGTCAAACTCAACGAATTCAAGATAGCCCTCAACAATCACTTCCAGGCTTTTCATGAAAAGGAAACCATCATGGAGAACATTTGGAAAGGGATCTACGAGGCAATCACTTCAGCAATTCATAAGGTTCTGGGCCAAAAAAGCACCATCAAGAGGATTGCGTCTCTGTTGATAATTTTGATAAAATTCAAGAAAAGAGGAACAAGTCAGCAGCAGTCAATATCAGGCGAACAAGAGCAGAGAAAGTCAAGGCACCAGCTGAATACATGGAACCAAAAAAGCGAGTGAATGCCGACAAACGTAAATATGTTAAAGATTTAGCAAAGACGGCGGAAAATGCTGCACAAGAAGGTAACTTGGGACAGTTGTAACATACAACGAAGTAGCTTGCTGGAAACTATCGTAAACCAGAACGACCAGTGCAAAGAAAAGAAATCAGTGTAATCAGTAACACTGAACAATAGCGAAACAGGTAGGCGGAGAACTTTAAGGAAGTCTTGAATTGACCAGCCCTACTGAACCAATCCAATTTCGTAACAATACCCATGGCCCTCCCAATCAGTGTTGTGCCACTGAAAATTGAATAGATAAGAATCGCAGTCAGTCAAATTAAGAACAGCAATGCAGCGTTGCCAGACAACATTCAAGCTGGGGCACTAGAAGCAGACGTAGTGTCAACTACGAAAATACACCATAATCTTTTCAACACATTTTGGGATGAAGAACAAGTAAAAACAGACTAGAACGAAGGATATCTCATCAAAATACCAAAGAAAGGCGATCTCAGCAAGTGTGAGAACTACTGAGGCATCACTCTTCTCTTAATGCCAGGCAAAGTCTTCCACAGGTTATTGTCGGACAGAATGAACGACTACGTAGACGCCCAACTTCGAGATCAACAAGCTGTATTTTGTAGGGATCGATCGTGTACTGACCAAATCGCAACATTGCGTATCATTGTGGAACAATCAAATGAATGGAATTCACCACTCTACATCAACTTTATTGATTATGAGGAAGTATTTGATAGTGTGCACAGGAAAGCACTATGGATACTTCTTCGACGCTATGATGTGCCTGAGAAGATAGTCAACATCATACGGAATTCTTATGATGGATTCAACTGCAAAATCGTGCACGGAGGTCAGCTGACAGACTCGCTCAAGGTGGAGAACGGTGTGAGGCAAGGATGCTTACTCTTACCCTTTCTCTTTCTCATGGTGATCGATCGGATTATGAAGACATCAACAACTGGAGGGAAGCACGGTATACAATGGACAACGAGGATGCAGCTGGAAGATCTGAACTTCGCAGATGGTTTTTCTCCTCTATCCCACACACGACAACGATCAGTGTAGCAGCAGCAGGTCTTAAGATACACAGGAACAAAAGCAAAGTTCTCTGATATAACGCAGCATGCACTAGGCAAATCACAATTAACGGAGAAGCTCTAGAACATATCAAAACCGCTACATATCTTGGCAGCACCGGTGACGAGCAAGGTATATCTGATGCATTTTCAAAGTCGAACAACATCTGTAACTCCAGACACCCACCAACTAACACCGAAGTCCGAATTTTCAATACAAACGTTAAGACAGTTCTACTATATGGAGCGGAAACTTAGAGAACTACGAAAGCCATCATCCAGAAGATACAAGTATTCATCAACAGTTGTCTACGCGAAATACTTCAGGTTCGTTGGCCAGACACCATCAGCAACAACCTACTGTGTGAGAGAACAAACCAGACTCCAGTGGAAGAAAAATTCAGGAAGAAGCGGTCGAAGTGGATAGGACACATATTGCAGAGGGCACCTAATGGCATGACAAGATAAGCCCTCACGTGGATCCCTCAAGGTCAGACGAAAAGAGGAAAGCCAAGAGACACATTACGCTAAGAAACAGAGAAAGACATGAGAAAAATAAACGAAAATTGGGAAGAACTCTAAAGGGAAGTCAAGGACAGCGCAGGTTGTAGAATACTAGTCAGCGGCATATTCTCCATTATGAGTGACAGGCGTAAGTAAGTATTCAAGTAAGTAGAATTTTCCCTAGACATTCACTTATAAGCCCTTCTAGTCATATCAGACATCGCTACAGAAAAATAGATCTATCCTGAATGTATAATTTAACAGAAAGACATGAGGAAATACAGTATAATGCACTTACCTGAAGATGGATAGGCTGAACCGTAGCTAAATTAGCTTTGGATATTCATACGAATAGTACCTCTTCCATTTTTCGAGATGCTGACGAATTCGAATAATCCAATACAAATCTCAGAAATACGTTCTTACACGATATACCGAAAGAGGATGAAACTGTAGACGAAAACCACAATGGGATACACGAGGCAATACTTTAGGGAAACCATGAGGTGCTAGCTTCTAAGAATTATCTGTACTAGGAGTGAGTCAACCGGTGTAAGGTTCGTAATGTCAGAAATGAGCATAAGAAAACCAAGAGGCTCTCAGGAGAGAATGTGGATGCACAAGCCAATACTTAGAGGCGAAGTAATGAAGGAATGACTGCATCTGAACTGCCAAATGGAAATTTATGGAAAACCTAGCATTGGCAGAGGAGAAAGCTGAAATATAGTGAGAAGCAGCCTGGAAATACAATAAACCAGCTCTGCCAGTCCAGAACAAGGAAGGTAAGGTAATCACCGGAATTCGAGAGCAGTGAAATGGAGGGGGAGAGATTTTGAATATGAAGAGCTCTTGAATAGACCAGCTCTACTGAAACCCAATGGAAGTCAAAGCAGCACACACAGACCTTCCTATAGATTCAGAACTGCTTTGACGAGCCTGTAAGATAAATTAAACTTGGCAAGGTGGCCGAACCAACTGAATACTAGCTGAGGCATGGAAGTCACATTTAAAAGAGATTTTGGTTATGTTTTCTGCTTGTAGTGATTGAAGTCGAGTTTGACTATGAACAGCACTACTTACCAGTTACGTTCTAGTCTTAACGCATCATTCTGTACTGAAAGAAAGAAGTATCAGTGGACTGGAGGGATACTTCACGGATTTACCAAAAAGAAGATATCATGGTAAGCTTAAGAACTAACAGATCATTCTAAAGTCGGTTACGGAAAATATCTTCAGCTAACTATTATTGAGGCAAATGAATGACTGAATAGATGTATAACTTAGAGACCGATAAGATGGAGTTATTAAGCATCGGTGATCTATCACTTATGATGCGATATTGAATATCACTGTAGAACAATCAGCTGAACGGATGGATGAGCTAATTTTATGGAATCTTCTTCGGCACTATGAAATGCCTAACAAAATTACCACACGAATATGGGGCATTTACGAGGAGCTGAGTTACAAAGTTACGTAGTCGCAATATAGTGAAATACCACCATCAAAATTAGCTGCTCTCTTCCTAGTTGCGTCGGCAGCATACACACAATCATTCACTCGCGGACGTAGGACTTGTCGAAAAGTTATTGGATCCCCTCAAAGTTGTGCACTAGAATGGTCAAAGGAAAAGTTGCAATTTTCAGGTACATTCAGGTCCTATTCTTTCGTAGTTACATTTATGTATTACTAAGTTCCTCCCTTCAAAACTCCTATTTTGCGTATTTTCTTCAATTATTTCGCTTTTTTATCTCTTAAGCTCTCAAGTGTCATGTTAATTAATAAGGTTGCTACCAATTCTTACTCTATAACAACTAGGAAAACCTTTAGAGGTAAGAATTGCAGGGCCAATAGTGGGTCGAACCCAGTCTCAAGTGACAGGGCTGTGAAGAACCTCAGAACGTCACCTGACAGCATTCTTTGAATCAATGTTCATAATTCGGAACACTCGACCGAAACAACTCCACTGAGTCTCTAACGTAGAAACCAAGATGGCACTCATCAGATTCCCACTCCTAGAAAGTGCAATAGGTAGGATGATATTAGGAGAAAAAGGGGTCCTAAGGTTCAGTTGACGCAGTCTGTCGTTCAGAAATCTCAGAAGGAAAAATGTATCACTTGCTCGATTCCAGTCAAAACCATTGACTGAGCTTTTCAATGCAACTTCAGTAGCACATGGGTCCATTGTTACTAAGAAACTACAGTACTTAGAGAATAATATGCGTTCACGCCTAATCACGCCTGTCCGTGGTTCTGGTATATCTGTCCGCGGTGCAGAATAACTGGGCATTGGCGAAGCCACAGGCCCTACGAAAAATCCCAACCGGTAAAAATCCGTGAAAAAGCGACCGAAGCAGCCATAACTCAAACCAACACCCTGACAAAATTGCCGGCTTTTGTAAACCCCCCAGTATCTATTAACAATATGGAACAGTGGGTGAAAATGAAAAAGGGTAACAACAGCACCACGACTGACAAAATGCTACCAATCAGTGACAGGGGCGTTAGACTAAACTTACGAATCCTATTTAACGTTCCAGGGTTGAAGGTAGGGCTGCCTTTGTCAAAGAACAATGGGACCACTACTGAACAATACTCGGAATGTGCAATACTTCGGCCAAAATATGCCGTCGCTTCAAAGGCCAGAATGTCACGAAAGGGTAACCCACTCCAATGAGGGTAACATTAGACTCTACACAACTCGCCGAAGACATCCTCCTCACATCACAGAGACCCTCATTTTATTTGTCCTCCCCGTTCTGAATCAGGTACGACAAATAGTGGTCACTATAGAA